TTTTTTTTTTTACAGCAGCAGAGCCGCCGGACAATAGGAAACTATTGGGCGGAGCTAGCTGTCACTGCTAGCTCCGCACAATCGTTTTCTATTTACTTTTTTTTACTTTTTTCACTCTTTTTCTGTTCTGCTCGGTCCCTCTGAGGGACCGAGCAGAACAGCCGAGCCGAGTGCCGCTCAGCGGCATTCGGCTATTCACTCACTGCTGTTCGGCATCTTTAAGAATAGACCGAACAGCAGTGAGAAGCCTGCCGGAGGTTCGGCTCAGCCGATCCAGATGTTTGATCGGCTGAGTCGAACTCCTTCTGCACTTCAGGTTGGCCGAACATGCTGAGCATGTTCGGCCAACCCGAAGCCACGCGAAGCAAGCCGATGTACGGCTGAAATCAGCCGTACCAGCCTGAAGTGAATATCCGAACAGTGTTCGGCTCACTTCCCTTCAGATCGGTCATTCACTCGGCTGCCCTCGGCAGCTTAGTGAATAGACCCCTAAGTGTTCAATCGTCCTGTAGGCAGCACTTTAAGTCAAAGGTTAAAGTCGTTTTGTGTCCCTCATCAACCAACAATCCTAATATTTTTGCTGAAACTTTAAGGAAATGTAAATTTTCAATTTTGATCATCCCTAATGATTAGTGTGTTACTACCATTGTTAGGGAATCTTTGTAGAATTGTTTTAAATCTCCCCGTCTAGATTAAAAATCAATGCATTTCAATGGTTGGAATTTAGTTTGCCTAGCATTGTAACTGCAGGCTTCAGAAGAACTCTTTGAATGGAGGGATCCCAATGCAATGTTTCTCGGAAATCCCCTTTAGAATTCAGTCTCCCCTGGCGCTAAAAAAAATTCCAATTGATTAAAAAGCCATCATACAAGCGGAGAATTTAGGTATGCAGTTTCCAGCAGCATGTCACCATATTGCATCCATTTTCTGCCTGTTAGCGTAGCGGAATAATATAGAAATCCACTCCATTGACTTTGTGTCTAGTCTGTGCCGTGGTAAAAAACACAAACTCCCAGTAGTGTTATCTGATTTCTGGAGAAAAAATCTATTTCTGCATAACGAGGGCCCATTGGATAGTGCCTCTGCATTAATCCCTGATTTCTACTCTTATATTTGCAATTCATATGCGGCATCTTTACTTCAATATGCATATTAGCATTAAGGAGAGAGAGCATTAAATAGCTTATTTTTGTAGGCTTTTTTTTTGCCATTAATGCGCCACATAATACATGTAGCTTGCCATGTCAGATTGCAGTCTTCATCAATGCAATTTTGGTTCTCTAATTAACTAAACTTTGAAGGAAGAGTTCAACATTTTATATTTAGGAGGGGGATATTTAAAATACCATGGAAGGTTAAAAATGGGGATGCAGCCAGTCTACTCAAACTAGAACAAATGTTTTCGAGACCAATAAGGTTTTAGCTGTTAGATGAGATAATAAATACATATATACACAGTATTTATTTTTCGCACACCCACTCACACAAATACATCATACAAAGTCTAGGCGTACTTACCAACTTTGCAATAAATCAGTGTTATCAGTCTAGAGTCCCCCATGGACCCAATATACCAAAACCAACAATGAAGTTTTAATACAGAATATTAATGGATCAGGAAGCATCCTACGGAATATTTTACATGTGTTATTGACACACACAAAAAATGTTTGATGTGCTGCAGTGCAAAGGTATTA